TAAATAAACTCCTTTCTAGTTTTTTCCTTCGTGTTTTTTTTTTCTGTTACTTAGGTTATACTGACAGTCCATACATCTCTTCCTTTTTAAAATGTATATAAAAAAATACTACATTTTAGATACACTTGATATTATTATTTGTTTAGTTAAAAATCTTGACAAATCACTTTCTAAATTTTCATTTATAATATCTCTTGTGCCATCTACTTATATATAATATATCTCACTTTAAGCTATCATGTTAAAGATAATGAGCATTCCTAATTTAAAAAAAAACAGTTTGACTCGTAAATGGGCACATTAACAATATTACGAGTTGAACTACCGTAATGACATCTGTTCTGGGCATCAGCGTTGCGTAATGTAGGTGGGTACTATACCTACTAACTACAAAGACAATACGCACAGCGCCCGCGCACGCTCAAGTCATAATAGAACTACGCACTATTTTAGGTACTTTTATTACAACGTTTTATAAGAATAAACGGTAAATCTTAATACTTTATACATTTACTTGTGACTTCGTCGATTGGACGTCAATTGAACTGATTCTGAATAATTCTTTCCACAATCGATAAAGTTCACTTCAGTGATTATCAATAGTTATCAATTAATTCTCAACGGCCTTCAAAAATAAGGTTCTCAATTCGGTTGTAATTTTTTTATGTTTATTACCTCATAACTCCGTTAACTGTAAACTGATATAAAAATTATTTTATATCTGAAAGAAAATGCTTACAAATTAGTCCCATACAAATTTTATCAACATCGCTTAAATAGTTTAAATTTTAATTCAAAATAACCACACCTTTTCCATTTTACTACTATTGAAGTAGGCTTTTTTGTGTAGGACATAATTAAGTTACGTGTATGTCTTTAATTAACTTTGAATATGCAGTTAGAATTGGGCTTGCAAATTCTTTTTTCCACAACAAATCTAATTTAAAACGTACCTTCATAGTTCGTGTATCGTAAAAGCTTTTCAGGGTTACGCCTGACAAATTGTTAATGGGTTATAAAATATCTAGGTGTGCTGTGTTCGTAGGGGCGTCCTAATGGGGCCTCTAGAAGTGGGTCAGGCCAATGTCGGGTGATAGCTGGCGAGGGTTATCGTCGCCCCTTCCAGTTCCCGCACTGATTACGCTATTTGCAAACCAATGTACCCAAAATCATTATGCCGCTCATTATTCTAGCATTCAACAACTATAGGATCCTTAAATTGACAGTATACTATATTCACCTTTCAATTCGAAATAAAAATTGAAATTTTTTAATAAAAAGTATCACCTAAAAATTCAATGAATTAAGAAAATGCTTCAAATTGTAGATCAATTTGGATCCATGCCAATGCAATAAACGATCAAAATCTGTGCATGCTCGATGCTTGTGTTGTAGCGAGTTTTAGATGAAAATAATGGAATAATCTTTAATTGATGTTCATTTATATCCAATAGGTATATGTTTATTCTAATCACTCAGTTATAAAATGACCTCGCAACTCTAATAGCAATATTATTATAATAGATATTAACAGAAAATCAACATGATGGAACCATTGTATTACTCGTCGAACTGCAAAGTCTGACATAGAGATCTGCCTACCTAATCTGGAAAATAGGTTCTTAGGACCTCTATACAATATAATTTTATATTATTGAAATGTATGTTACATGTATGTTAGTGCATATTTTTTATTTATTCTTTAAGTGGTTACACATTACAAAAAATGTTAGGTATAAAAGGCGGACTTGCTATAAAACATTTTCTCCCAGTCAATCTTTGGCAAAAGAGAAATGTAATTACGCGGTAAAACATTGAAAATTGTTATAGATAAACGTATACGTATTGAATTACAAATTATATAACACATACAATGGAGAAGTACTGCACATATACACGGGTACAATAAACAAATATTACTATGTACATATATTATTAATTTTAATATTAATCACTGCGGTTGTGATTCACTGTTCATCTCAAAAGGTAGAAAATTTTTGTTCCATACTCTTATTCAATTTACCAGATACTTAATATTGTCAGTTACCACAAAAACTACTACATTTTAACCAACCGAATTGTAGGTAGGTACTATACCGTTCTCTCGTGTTGAAAATTGCGCTCATTCTGGATCGTCAATGGTATTGCCGATGCAGTCAATCATCTGGATTACTATTACGAAATTGTGTTGACCAGAATAACCGACTGCGACCCAATAAGTACGCATGCGCCTCTATTCATCATTGTAATCATATTAATGTGATATTTTTCTTATCTAAATCTAATATTATAAAATACATATCTATTTTATTTTAAAGAATCGATTTAATTCTTCTATAATAAATTGGATGTATTTGTGCTAAGATGTTGGCCTATTTTTATAATAATTTTTAAGACAATTTAATTTAAAAGATTATTGTTCTTTTTGCGTAAAATTCCAACTGTGTGCTTTACCACTTTAGAAAATAGGGAACCAATGGCATTAAACCCGTAGTTTAAGTAGCGTGTGTGTATCTATCGCCTACGAAATAATAAATAAAATAGCCCTGCAGAATCCAGGTGAAACGGAGGAGTTGAAACCGCGAAGAGACGCGTCAATAACTATCAATATGCCATCTGGTCTACTCATCTAATGAATATCCAAGGAAATCAATTACTGCCGGACTTTATGGTGTGTTGTTATAATTTCTGATATAGAGGTGTAAAGTTTCCGCAATACAGTTATAAGTAGCACAATGTTTCTTTCGTACAATAATTTGAGTCAAAGAGATACCCAACAGGTCGGCTTTCTCTTTAGCACTGTAGACCAAATACTATTCAGCATTTGTAGTAGCGCCTCTTATGGCAGCTCTAAAATTCAATGTTTATTAAATACATATATTATTATAACACATGCATGAAAAATGAAAGCTTTCAATGTTATGATAATAATTCTGAAAAATAATACAATTCCAATTGATGATTTCATATTCTTACAGAAGGATTACGTAGGCACAATTCTATTATTGGGTCACTGCAAATTCCTAACGGGTAATATCACGGGAGTCTCGAAACAATGGCACTATTAATCTTACTCTCTGGTACCCCACTACAGAATCGAAGTAACTCTGTACAATTTATTAAAAATGAGTATCAATAGTTAATATACTTTATAAAATTGTAATTAAACAATGTAATGGCGTAGCATCATGTCACATTTATTTATAATGAATATACACAACTATTTCATGATTAGATCATTGACCAGTTTTTATCAGGAATGAATAATTTAATAAATGTAACAAAAGTTTACTTGATAACGTAAACGCACGTAAAAAGCGTTCTTGATATTTCAAGTAACGTATATTAAATTTTTATTGTATTTCTTTGTACATATAATATTTACAAAAACAAACTAAAATTATTCAACATAATAATATTGTTTGATCGCACAATGGAAAGGTTTTAAGAGTCGTAGAGAAAGTAGTATCAATTACTCTTTATGTTGTAATATTATTTTTTTTAAATGAAATAAAAATATGTATTGATATTTTTTTATACATAGATAGTTAAGTTTTATCGTTATGCTATGACATGCTAGGTACTTTTACAATACCAAAATATCCAATTATATGTAAAATCAAAACGCAGAGATAAAACGTAACAAACTAGTAAAAAGGCCATTATAAAAAAGTTATTTATTATACCGTACTATAAAGACTGACAAAAGTTGCGCGCCGCGACGTTGCTGTCCTAATGAAACATCCACGTGGTAACACCAGAAATAGCATTGCCGCCAACCGGTGTGGACGATAACGAGCATCTCGCAGTTTGGGCAGTTAGGTACCTACATGAACGGATGTCGCCTCATCTACGATATTTTTAGAGTCTATGATATTTTCAACAACAACCTAGCATATGATGTTGACGAAATGACGGGACACCATCACAGAAATTCAGCTTACCTCAATTTAGTTTACGTCATGTTATATATTAATATATATTTCAGACCGCGTTACAACTCTCCGAATACATCTTTACATTAAAAACTTCCTCAATCTCATCAGTGTTTATGCGCAATGCGCATACCATGACAAATGACGAAGTATCAAAAAGATATCTTTTTGATACTTCGTCTAACTAGCGAGTTCGTAAGAACTAACGAGCTTTGATTTTAAGGCTACAGTTATTATTAAGAGGGAAGATTCGATTGTTTGTTTCTTTGTAAAGAATAAACTCAAAACTACTCAAATGATTTTAAAAATTCTTTCACCTATATGCACCAATCATATGTAGAAATAGAATCATTAAATTAAAAATAATATTATCAGATATCTATAAATATTATATTAACAGCACGTTGAATAAGAGACAGAACGTTATCAAAAATCTTCATTTGTATAATCAACATTCATCTATGGAATGGTCCGTATGTCGTCTAGAAACACAAACAAGTCTAACGAGATAATGTGTCTGATGTTATCTCGTGGCAGTCGTGTGAACGACGACTAGAAATCACAAAAAGTCGATGCAACGAGGAAACATAACGGGTCAAGCCAATTCCGAACGCCCACTTCTAATGTTGACACACCTTATACTATGCTGTTTTAAATCAAATGTTAAAAGTCAAGCTTTCTTAAATTAATACCTAATCACAACCTGCCTAAGGCACTATTGTTTATCGTTATTTCATAAAATTATTAATATCAATGTTTTGATTCCATTATTAATAAACCTACTTTCTTTTTCGAAATAATCTTTGTAATCTGTATCAGTATATTTAATGCATATGTTACTAAATTTTGACCGAAAAACTCTTTAAAAGAAATTAGCAACAAATCGAAACATTCAATCATTTGATCGATTTTGTATTTATACAACTATTAGATATCACAACAGACACACACAACACACATACAACATACTATCTTTTGGTCGAATCAATTATTCGTTAGTTTAGATTTTTATTAAATTCTATTGAAACAGACCATACTCAAATCTAGAATTGCTTTCTGTTACAGAAGTTATGAGGAGATAAACTATCAATATAACGATAACGAAGTCTTCTATCATCTATTTGAAGCGATAGTTATAAGAAGTAACAATGAAACGACTACAAAAATGCTGTTGCTGTGCATCAACGCGCACCGGTACCTTGATCACCGCAGTGTTGGGGATCATTCTATCCATTGCGACTATTATAACAGTATGGGTTGTCGAGAAACACAAAGTATCCTTCAGCACATTCATATTTGATGATGATTTTGATAAAAAACTTTCAGATTTAGACAGTGAGTATATTTGTGTTTATAAATTACAAATTAGTCCATATTGAAAGATAAAAATACCAGTATATGTTTGAAAACTTTGTTTCCTTTAATTTGCTAAATTGAGTCCTATCTATTTATCTCAAACTATCGCATAACTGATATATCAAAGGTGTCACATATTCTAAATAAGAAATATTTTCTAAATTTCTTTATTCATAAAAAACTAAAAGTGAAAAAGAACTCAATCATAAAAATATATTATTTTTCCAAATATATTTTTTTTATCTAAGTCTTTACAATCAGATGCATCTGATTGCTTAATCTGAAATTATAGTCTTTAACATTATACATTCTACATTCCTTTATCATTTGTTTGTTGCAGTTCCGAGAATTATACTAACATTGAACCTGTGTTTTACAATTTTAATATGCTCGCTTCTTATCGTAGCTGTTCTTAAGGTAAGATTACATTGTTTATTTAACTTTTTTTACTTATTACCGGTATTTCACACTTTGACTTTGAATATACCTGTTGAGAAATGTGGACTTTATTCTACCCCAAAACAAATATTCTAGTCTAAGTTAACAAATATTTGAACAATCCTCGTGGATAACAATATTGTTTAAAGAAATAAGAGGTAGAATTTTATATTTTTTTATAATATAAAGCGTAGTACTTTATATCATTTCTTAATTATTCATTTTAAAAATATTAAAATTGTTCTTGTGTTCTTTCATGCTACTCAGAAATCATTTACGGTAAGTTATCGAAAAAGTAACACAATCATTTTTCAAACATCTTCCACATTTTTTCTTTTAAATTTAAACGTTACTTTCTCGTATGTACCTAAATACTGCCAAAATAGCAATACGTAGGCGATAAATACCTAAATTTATTCTTTCATACCAATGGTCTTGTCCGAATCTGTAAGTAAATGTTTTCCATTTACTCTTATCAAATTTTTAATTATCTATGTATATGTAATTTCCCTGAGTTTTGATATTGAAAGATGAAAGTGAAACATACTGAAATTGCCCCGATATTATATTCTAATAGAAAGAATTAATCCGAAGCAAATTTTTGTAAAATAATGACTTTTTTATGTAATAAAATCTTAAATGAATGTGTCTTTATTTTCCAGAGACGCTCGTGGTTGATGCTACCATGGGTGGTGTTGGGTATTGTATTAGCTATAGGACTGTTAATTAGCGTGCTTCACACCTCCATTACATACTACCTCATGGAGGACAAAACTGAAGAAAAAGAAGAACATCGCGGTCATGTCGTATTGGCCACTGCTATACTCATCGGAGGACTTATATACTTATGTAAGTACTCATAATTCAACTCAACATATAACTACAAACTTCTTTATATATGAGATAAATTATCTAATTCCAACTTTTTGCACAACTTCATTTATATGGATCGATTGCATCTGTTTCAATGTCACCGTTCTACATAATATCAAAATCATTATCATCTTTTTATGGCAGTGTAGGTACTACCAGTGAAACTAAATATTTTTCTCAAGAATTTATTAATCCAAAAGCGGCATATTGTTTTATTACAGAACACATGAATAATGTAATTATTAGTGTATTATATGTGGATGCTGTTACTATTCAATAAAACGTAGGCGTCAGTTACCACTTTCCATCATGTGGGCCGTCAACTTGTTTGGCATTCCAAGGCATGTACAAAAATGTTACAATCTTTTTAAAATCTCCATTCAATAATAAACGAAGAAAACGAAATCAAGAACCACTGAACTCGTATATTATTAATAATATAGTATTTAACAATTTAAAGCATATCAGACATTTCTAGGCACTAATAGACTTTTTTTTTACTTTTCTAGGTTTATATTTATACTTGTGGGCAGTAGTCTTCAGCCACTATTTGGATGTGCGTGATGAAGAGGAACGTGGAAGATATCGCAAAGCTCCGTATCGTAGATAAAGTACAAATAAGTCACATTCTCACATAATGATTATCAATAGCATCATATGAAGTATGATCTCGATGTGTTCATTATAAAGTCAGCGCACGTAAATACACGCAAATTAGACTGATAGGTTTTTAAACCTTAAATTTAAAACACCGTAAAACTTTACAAATGTTATAAGTAATATATAATATACTTAAATTATTGTATATATTATGGACCAAGGGTACTGAAGACATTATACAGAATGCTAGGCTAATATAAATAACAAAATCGAATCAGGCTGAATATGCCAATTATAAGTCTGACTCTACATGTTGTCTCAAAGTTCTCGACGTAACAAACATACCACAACTAAGGGAACTGGGCTACTTCTTTTGACACCATCTTAGAGTTCAGTAGGCGTCCACTAATATTTTATAATAAAATTATAATGAAGTGAAGTGATCGCCAGTGTATCTTAGATGCAATATATATTTTTATTATTTTGTTCGATCAATAATAAACATTATTCATAAAACCAAAATAATTTAATTATGTAAATTAATCTAATATATAATATTGCTCCTTTATTTTGCAAACTGTCCGAATAATATCAATAATGTCATATTAAGCACTCGGTTCATAATATATCCTAATAATAAAAGCGCAAGGATTGCATTGTTGTTCTTTCATCTGAAGCGTGAATAGGTTAACTATTTGCAAAGAAAGTATCGATACTTTTGAATTAATACTCGGAGTTAAATAATAATATAATAATCTTTTTATGGATGATGACAGATTGAGACACCCACCTCTGCTAATGGTATATGATCAATGTAGAATGGAATAATTAGATCAGTTGGCTGTTATGGTGAAATTTCTTAAGAACCACAACGGCCTTTAAAGAGAATTTTTTTATCAAAGACCGTGTACATCTAATGACTATAACTTCTATCGATGACAACCACCGTGATCATTGATCATATGTGGACATTTTTAATTGACTCCATGAAGAAGTTTTTTATTTAATATCTTATTATATTAGACCGGCATCGTATTAACAACTTCCCTGGTGTTGTTAGTGTCCATAAACTGCGATAAGCACTTACTATCTAGTAAACCGTATGATTGTGTGTCGCCATTTCACATAAAAAAGTCAGAAGATTGTTCTCTAAATTCTTTTGCAATCGATAGGGTTTACTCTAACACGGTCACGATAGAAGTCAAGTCTATGGTACTTATGGAACAAAATATTTAAAACTGATAGATTATAAAACAATGGACTCGGCAGTAATCATACGGTTATTATTAAAATTTATTATAATTAATTTTAATCATCGGTAATATCATAACATGCATTATAATTATTCTAAGGTTCTGGTTTCAGCTATGAATTATAAAATCGAATACCGATGAATTTTTTAATAATTTACCGATCAGAGATCAATAATATTTATTGCCATTAAAAGTAATTTCAAACTTTTTTGTTTTTAAATTATTTTAATAAAGATATTAATTCCTAATAATGTAAAATATTATTGAAATAAACAGTTATTAGATCTATTCATATTATAAATGTATTCAGTATTAACTGATAATAAAAATTTGAGCCTCCATTAAATGTGTGCCTTATAAATATATGTCTAATGTATTTAAAGAAAAAATAAATAAATAAAATCCATATTTTGCAGAAATTTTCCATATTTATAACTTAATTTTAAGCTTTAATTAAATTTTATTATAAATTTGTGTCTATTTTTCTCTAAGTTTGAGGGACGATCCTAAAAAAATATTGTAAATACCTGTAAAGTTTGTAATGTAAAAGAGCACCTGTCTGTAGTCACTATTCCATGTTATAAAAATATAGATCTGAACTTAGGGACTTCGTAAGGAATAAATTAATAAATGTTATTTATGAACCTGTTACACCTTGGACGAGTCCATTAGATTATGTTGTTTTATATCTAATCAATTAGAATAGATATAAGTTACCAGATAAAATTCTTTTAACAATGTATATTTTAATTTATTTACTTATAATATATATTCTTTTATACGTCTGTAATGTGCATATAAAATTTTAATAAATGTTTAGATATAATGTTGTATTTTGTTTCTAATCTTCAATGAAACGCCTCATTCGACGAAATAAAGATTAACTATTTCCATAGACACTAGTTCCTCTTTTGGTATAAGGTGAATAAAGTGCATGTCTAATAGCGTGGGCTAAGACAATGCCATAGGATGATAATAGCAAACAGTATTTTTACGAAGCTTTTCTTCAAAAGATGGGTAAAGAGGTTTCTTGAGGGACGACAACATGCGCGTATTACCCCTGGTATTGCTGGCGTTCATAGACTACGGTAACCGCTTACAATCAGGTGGGTCGTATGCTTGTTTTCCACCACCTAAACAAAATCTTTTTAATCTAAATAATAAAACTCTTTAAAAACTATTAAATCCTTCGAAATCAAATAAAAAAAAATAAGTATATCTATTCGAAGTACCATATAATTAGGTATTTGACACTTAGCAATTAATAAACCACATACAAAAAAGCTTTTTAAACTAATGTATTTTATACTTACCACAAATTGGAAAATACTATGTTATAAGAACATGCCCTTGGTGAAGTAACCACGACAAACTATATATACCGCCTCTCAGCACATGATTGCGCACAGTCTGTCTATAAGTTTGAGGTTGTCTTTATGCGAAGTCGAAAAAATCGGAGTATTAAAATGTTTAATAAACTGTAATTAAAATATTTATTAGGCATTACGTTACAGAATTCTACGCAAAATGGCGTACCTATTTAAAATTATTTTTCAGGGGAAGGAGAGCCTGGCCCCTAAAAAGGCACATAGGTACTCTCGAACTTGCCTTTCCCAAAGGCTGGTGATGGGTACCAATGAAAAATACCAATGGGCACAAATTTAATTCTTTTAACGTTAATAAATTGTCAGGTGTCAAATACTTTTTGAAAAATATTTAACCTTGTATTCACGAGTAACAGAATTTTAAACTGTAAATTCTTAATTAAATAAAAATCTGCCACATTACAAGTGCTGTAATAAACTGTAAAAAGAAAACCCAGAAATATATGACTGTTATTTCACATTAGCTAAAATTAGTGTAGCTAGCTGAGAATTGCTGAAAAAACCGTTTCTACCGTGAAGCAGTTGTGTTTGCATGGCTGTGTTTCGGTTTGAAGGGTGGGTTATGGCGTGAATTTACTGGGTACAGAGGAATAACATCTGAGTGCTCAGGAATGGTAACGCATGAGGGGTATCATGAGCGAAACAGTATACTTCATGTCCATGGTATTGCTCATGTCTATAGGCGACGGTTACCACTTTCCATCAGATGGGCCGTCAACTTTAAATGTTTTAATTTAGATTGATTTCACCATACAACACGATTAGCTTTTTACATTATGCTTAGGTACCTACTTAGAAATAGGTCATAGTTCCTACCTATAAGTTATTAGTTTGTTTAGATATCCCCAACTAATAAAATTTAGGCTCATTTAATATTTTATGAAAAAATATATGAAAACAAAAGTGTATGAAAAATTTGACGAATATACCATCAATTCCTGTACTTAGGGTACTGTTGACATATATTGCCGAGTATATTCCTGAAGTACTTAAATATTTTATAAGACCTACTATCGTATAACTTTCGTGATTTGGGGGAAAGGTATTGTTAGCAATTTGACAGCCCCATTGCTAGCAATATGCCCTATTAGGTCGACCTCTACGTGGTTCTCCCTGGAAACCATCGTGAACAATTCTTGTTGAATTCATCACGATTGGTTAACTGACTTGCTTCATCTTCACCTATTATCCTTTACTGGTGCCCAGCCGGTGTATACCGATAGCGCGGGTGGGGTTACCATTCCATTATCACCCATAAAAAAACTTTCATGATGTACTTGGAAAATAATTAAAAACAATGTTGCGAGCACAGCGACAGCACACTTGTAGTGTGACATAATGATCTTGAGTCACAATAGGTAAAGTACCTATAACGTACTTTGTTCTATCTATCAACTTGCATTGTATACAAGTCTGGCTGTGCAAAATGTGATAATGGTGATTTCATAATATAACGAAAAGTATAAACCGAGTCACCTTATTGGTGAAACTAGTGATTATTACAATCTGCGTGTTTTTTCAAGTTGACCTACTATAATAATTATTAACACACTGGAGGGATTTCTGCGAACAAAACCCAAATTTTTCTTAAATGTTTTCTATTTTCTGTTCCTATGGGAAATGCCAAATAAAGTGTTTTTATTCTATTCTGTTCTGTTATTCTTCTCTAAGAATAGAGTATAATTATAGGTATTCAGTTCAATTTCGTTCTATTCTATTCTTTGTGGATTAAGATAAAAGCCGACAGATGACATCGAAGTCTGTGACATAAATACAGGTAATATATACCAACTTACTAAATCGTGCCTAAATAGTAATAATGCAGAACAACAGGCTCATCTAAATAGAAATACCTAACCAAATAGTAAGTATATCCAGTATTGCTCTATAAGTAGCAAATTGGGTCCCACATGGCAAGCAAAGGAGCTGTAGAACAATCCATTAGTACAATTCCTACAATTGGAATTGTTTTAATCAGTTTTTGTTATCTCCAGGAACAACAGACTTAACTCTAACCAACTCCATTTACTTAAACCACTTAAACCTAATTACAATTTAAAAATAAGAATAATTTATATTGTCCACAGCTTCAGGCTTATATTGTTAAGTAAATGTCCTACTAGGGGAAAAGGGATTGTTAGTAATGGTGTCTAATACCTCCATTGCTAGCAATGTACCTTATCAGGTCGACCTCTATTCCAGCGGCTGCTTCTCAGAACTCACAGTTGCCAACCTTTTTCTTTGCTTTTACTTTTTGTCACACTTTTTCATGACTAAATAATTTTCTCGTAAAACATTTACAAAAATTATACAAAAAGACTAGTTATACCGTTGAGAACAAAATTATCAATAGCCCCTTGCTAAACTATTTTTTTTTTTTGGATTGTTACCTTTAAATTTCTTTTATGAATTTTGTCTCTACATTTTATTTAGTAATTCACAATATAACTCGTATATAACTATATAGTGTAATACGCAATTTTTTATTATTCAATTCCATTTTTTCATATAATTTAACCAAAAAATTCAACGCATAGTTGGCAACTCTCTAGAATTTTATTTGAAAATCTGTCTAAAATTCCAGACAAATTATCATATTGAAGACTAGGCAGCATAGTTTCCGACCTTAGCCTTCCACAACGGAGCAAATGTACTAAAAAAATTAAAATCTGTCAAATTCTGAATAATAATTGAATGAATTCTTAATTTCATTCGTATTTCTCTCTGACGTATCGTAAATAAACCATCTGATATAAAGTTTAGAATTATATTTTTTTATTTTAAAATAACATAAGTGTTGTAACGTACACGTAATTTAAACATTTCAATTATATAAAATGGAAATCTCATTTAAAGGGAAGAGAATTCTAGTAACCGGTGCTGGACAAGGTTAGTTTTAACATTTTAGTTATTTAAATTGCTACATTACCACCACATTTGGTTACAAACATTTATTTAAACATTTATTAGCAAATACAATGAAATGATTCTAAATTTGGATTACAGGAATTGGTCGTGGTATTGCAATAGAGTTATGGAGAGCTGGAGCAAATATAGTAGCTTTATCTAGAACGAGAGCTCATTTAGAGACATTGCAGAGCGAGTATCCTTCTATCGACATAGTGGACGTTGATATTGCTGACTGGGATAAAACACGAGAGGTCGTTGAGTCTCTAGGTCACTTTGATGCGCTTGTGAACAATGCTGCGGTTGCAACTTGCGAACCCTTTCTCGAATGTACGCCCTCAGATTATGATAAGTTAGTATTCATTATTAAATTGAAACATGTAAAGCATAGTACATATGCGATATTTTACTCAGATATGTTTTAATATTTTTATTATTTATTCTGTTTTAAATATTAAATATTTTTATTAAACTCACCTTCACATTTGTAATATTAGTAAGGGTTTATTCTATACAGTTATCTAACAATTTTTATCTATATTTTTTACTTTCAGAATGTTCAATGTCAATGTAAAAGCTGTTCTCAATATAAGTCAAATTGTTGCAAGAAAAATGGTTGAAAACAAAACCCATGGTGCCATTGTAAACATATCCTCTCAAGCCTCTAAGGTAGAATTTGTTAATTATATTTTTCTTTATATTTTAATAATATCAATATGTGGGTTTGTTTAGTTAAGCTTCATTAGAAAACTTAATAGATCTAAATCCAGATTATAGAAATTATAAAAATATGAGGACATACAAAAAATTATATTATTTGATTTTTCATTTCACATAGCATAGGCACAATATAAGGAGTCTTCATACAGTGGTTTATCGGCCATAGAAATCTGTTCTCGTGCCACATTCGTTGCAAGGGTTATCACATTTATTTTTAACTGATTTCAAAACAAGGAGATTGTCAATTTGAGTATGTATGTTTTCACATTATCCATATGAATAAATTTCAATTCTGAATTATTTTGTGTAGTGAATTTAACTACTTTGAAATTTTCTATGTTCTAAACTCTTTATTTGAATAAATTCAAAATTCAATTAAATTTTAGAATTTATAGTATTTAGGTACTATATGACTCGATTTGACTAGATCAAATCAGTAAGTTAGTAAATTAAGTTCAGCCAAGTTAAGTATCAAGTCCAGTCATGGTAAACAATTTGAATAAGTTTCGCAAAATTTGAACAGATTATTCAAGTTTGGCCCAAGTCAAAGTTTAGTGAAATAATTAAGCTAAATGTTGTTAGTTTAATCAAGTTTGACTAAATTGAGTCAATGTTGATGACTTAAATTGAGGTTCGTATAGTTAGGCTGTTTGTTTCAGCTTACCAAATTTGGTCAAGTATGGCTAAGTTTAATCCAGTTTAATCATCTAAATCAAGTTACATATAGTTTGTCCACTCCAATGTAGTGAAATATAATAAGTATAGCTAAGTATGACCAATTTGCTCAAGTTAATTCTCCTTCAATAGGAGGAGAGTAAAATCAAATTAGCGAACTTTAATTTCAATTTCCCTTATTGAAGTTGGTTAAAAGTAAATGTGATAATGTTATAAACTTGCATAAAATTACCCAAAACTTTCTATAAAATTAAAAATATTGACAACTACAACCTTTTTTGTCAAAATCAATATCATAATTTTTTAGATCAGCAAACCCAAATTAATCAAAAATGATACCAGAATAAAATGTAAGTACACTATACATACTACTACTATAACTATAGTTATGTTTTCATAAAATACCATATCAAAATAAAAAACTAAATTCCATGACCAAAATAATAAATTAGTTCAATAATAAAATTCAAAAGTATTAATGTGTACAATGACCTTTGGCAGGTACCAAGTGAATGTATAGCATGCATAGTACCTCCCCGCCATGTCTCCCTTCAAAAGTTATATAGCCACTTTCGTGAAACTACTATATGAAAAGTAGTTTTTATACTGTAGTTAAGATTGTGGGATAGAGTATATAGGTAGTTTAACAATCTGGCAATTGATATTACAAAATCTAACAAACTCCAAGTTGGACGTGAACATAGAATGTTCTGTAACATTATATTAAGTTAATTGCGACCTATGCTAAGTACTGTTCCATAAAAATATAATAATTTCTATTTGTAAACCTCATACATTCCCAATAGTGTTTTTACTACGAAGCAGCTGTACTTGTTTGGCTGAATTTCAGTTTGCAAAATAGAATATTGCAAGTAAAATTGCAAACTACTGAAGCATAACACTATAGTCCTCAGAAATGGCAATACATGAGGGTTACTATAGATGTTACAGAGTATTCTGTGATGTCCACCTACTGTTCATGTCTGTAGTCATGGTTACCACTTTCTATCAGGCAGCTAGTTAATTGAGCTTTATTGCCATTCTAAGTAGCCCAAAAAAAAAATACATAAATAGAAGTGTGCCTTGCTTTCATGAGCTTAATTATTTAAATAGCCCTTGTTGCTTTGATCCACATGTTTTTATCCATACAATTTATTTTATGATATCACTTATTCTATATTTATCTTTGGGCTTTAAGGAAACTGCCAATATTTACCTCAATGAATCAAGTAATCGAGCTGTTATCATAGTTAAAATAATATATTTATTTAACTGAATGTTTATCTTTATACCTGTATAGCAAAGATATAATATAAATATGCAAACATGTAATAAAACCGTAATAAACTAAGAACTGTATTAGTAAGTAAAATACTTTGATCTTCAAGTTGGCTAATTACATAATTGTAATATCTATAAAATGTCTGACTTCATGAATCAATTGTTGATGAATAATCATTCATTCTTGTATATACCCCAACAACAATTGGCAAATGCCTCTGATTATACTGTAAGGGATTATTTACAGTCTAGAAAATAATTTATAATTGTTGATTTTCCAGGCAGCCTTAAAAGATCATACCATTTACTCTGCTTCCAAAGCAGCCCTTGACGCTTTGACTCGTGCCATGGCATTGGAACTGGGTCCCCATGGTATTAGAGTAAACGCCGTAAACCCTACTGTCATAATGACCGAAATGGGCAAGGTTGGATGGTCTGATCCCAATAGAGCTAATGAAATGCTTTCAAAAATACCACTAAATAGGTAAAGGTTTTTATTATGTCCATATTTAATTATCTTGTCCAAATAAATCTTCAATATAGTACTGTACCATTAATGCCTTTGAAATATTGGTACACTGAATTAAAAAAAAAAAATAGTAATTTAAACAGTTTGGTACATTTAGTAATTTAATATTTATACCAAAAAAAAAGATATTTCGTATTGAACCCAGTAATTGTACTGTAACAATATTTCAAACTTTCAGAAAAATTGCCTAAAACAAAATTAATTAATTTACAAATTTAAGCAGCATGAAAAATATCTTCTGAATTTATGTCATGTCTAAAATCAAATCAATATAGTAAGACAAGATGTGTTATATTGAAAAGTTTTCAATTCTGTTTTACATACTAATTCTGTATGTTCCTAAATACCTTTGTATAAATATTTTTTTCATAAAAAGATATCTTCTATTAACGCAACATGATTTAGAAATAACTAACTACAAGTGCTGACCTTAGTTGATATGTAGTTCATAGATAGCACGAATTATCTTTTTAATAAATATTAAACAATCTTCATTCTAATATCAGCTCTACTCCATAATGAAAATATGAATTTTAATTAACTGTTACATATTTATTTCAGATTTGGTGAAGTATCAGAAGTAGTTAATGCTGTGGTTTTCCTTTTAAGTGAAAAATCCAGTATGATTAATGGTGTTGAACTACCCATTGACGGAGGCTTCCTTGCTACATAAAAATCTCAAGTTTTTTTTTATACCAAAGACATAAAAACTAGACATTTTGTATTTTCATAACTTTAAGTTAATAACAATTTATCTCCTTTTTAAAATATTGTTATTATCTACCAAAGAAAGCTAGATCACCACTTATGATGTATTAAAACTTGTAATTCTGTATTAGTTTGCCATTTTTTAAATATAAGTTAAGAATATATGATGTTTATATTGTTCTAACATTTTAAGAACATCTCCACTTCTCCAGTTATAATGAATCTTATGTACATATTGTATACTTAATATAATACTTAATGATTATTAAAAAATGTTTATTGTATAAAAGCTAGCTTGCATTGGTGACAAATGTTGCTATAATTATTTCTTCACTATTTATCAATTTGTATGACCAGATAGAACGTACTAGGACGTGACAAGATGTTTATTTATATTACAGAGAAATGATAAGCATTGGAAAATATTTCCGACGACAACTACGAGTATCACTATGCGTAATAACTTGACACCAGTAAAGTGCTTTCCGATATTGTCTATAATTTTTCAATATGGTGCCTACTATCATTCAATTAATTTGTTAAATAAATGCCATTTGTTATACTTTTGATTTTTTCTTCGTAATATTGACGAAAAGACTACCAGACAATAAATATCTAGAAACACAACTCTAACATCCAGACCCGACACAATTTAGTAAACTTATACACCGATTAATATTTATTATGTCATACATACATTTGTTCCGCAAAATACAATATGTAACCGCACAACGTCAGGCACATTTAAGAGTTTTTTTTTTTTTTTTTACAACACAGGGGGCAAACGAGCATGCGGCTCACCTGATGGTAAGTGACTACCGCCGCCCATGGTCACCCACAACACCTACGGCATTGCAGGTGTGCTGCAATACAATTATTACAATTCATCCCTATCCCAAATAATTCGAGGTCCAAGTTGCCTCTCGAAAATTACCACAGTTTTTATTGCAATAAACTTATAGTATTATTATTATTTTAGCCGTTAACTTCACTGCTGAATATAAACCTTCCCCGTAAGGGGAGTTTTCCAGTAATTACCCCGCTTGTCAGGTGGGTTAGCAACCGCAGTTAGGCTTTTAGAAGTGTTTTAAAAGGGACGCTGCTGCCCATCCCTCGCCCTCCCTTAGTCGACTCTTACGACACCCACGGGAAAGGAAGGGATGGCCTATTCTATGCCAGGACCACACGGCGAACTTATAGTAGCACAAGTTTAAATACATATACCTTAAGAAAATATGTAAATACATAGAGTAATAAGCACTCAAAAGAATCATGATTCAATAGATAAGAATAGTACTTGGTCATGATTCATTTTGTGTACTTAAAGTCAAAAACCTCGTGTTAAATTGCAATAAGTTTTTATCAATTAAGAGCGAGGTTCTCGATTCGTCTAATTTTTTCCGCAAATATATTACAGTTACTCGCTAATTCTGAACAGATTTTTTTTTAAATGATAATGGAATGGTAGCCGTCGTGATGTATACACCTGGAGTTCAGCAAGACGATTTCAAGGGGGATCACGTAGAGGACGACCTGACAGGGTATATTGCTAGGAATGAAACTGGTAGTCCAAATTACTAACAATCCCTTTCCTCTCCTACTTACTGAACATAAATAGGCATAGTCGTAATTAGAGGGGGGTGAGCCATGCTCACCCTAGAAACTTAAGCAGGATGCAATCAAAGCTTCGCAGACATACCAAAGTGAACATATGCGCTTTTTTTTTTAAGCTTGAACTTTCAGGGGGAAAATTTCATATCTACATGTCATTTATCGAACGGATTTTACGAAATAAATCATTTTATCGTCCAAACTTACCATTATAGCCTAAGCGCTTCATACATTACAATCAGTGTAATAATTAGTCTGCTTTAGTATCTACCGACTTAGTTCTAACTAAAATGGATTTACGACTACCAGGAATGTAATATTAAATTATTTTACATCGGGTATAGGTAGGTATTAAGTTTACGATATTATCCTGTTATCTGAAAATTTACATAATTCCATGACTGTGGCAATCTTATCACAAAAATTATAAACATTAACTATCCAGTTACATTATTATTCTCTGTAGATAATGTAATGTTTTCAACTTAACGCGTTTGCTGCTTACAACAACAGAATAAACGATAATTATGGCTAAACACTTTAACGGCAAAAGAATACTTGTGACCGGGGGCTGTCAAGGTAAGAAATTTAATAAAGGCAGTCTAAAATAAATAACTTGGTAATGGTTTATAGTTGGTAAATATCTCTTAGACCTAGATACATCTCTCATTTTGCAGGTATCGGATACGGCATAGCTACAGAATTATGGAAGCAAGGTGCTAATGTTGTTGCATTATCCAATCAAAAGGAAAGCTTACAAAAACTCCATAAAGAATATCCTTCCATAGAAGTTGTTTGTGTAGATCTTCGAGACTGGGCCAAAACTAAAGCAGCTGTAGATGCCCTAGGCATCTTCGATGGGCTGGTCAACAATGCAGGCATTGCCAAGACCGAACCATTTTTAGAATGCACACCGGAATACTTTGATGAGTAAGTTTTGGTATATAATGAGCTGGCGCCCCCTCTAATATGCCTATGACGATACCCAACCACATTTTTTAAATTATTGATAATAAAAATATTAATATATATTATAACTAGATGGGACAGATAAAAGAAACACTAGGTGTCATGTCGTATAGGGAGGTCAAGGATATGGCCTGGGATAGAACTGGCTGGAAGATGCATGAATTAGTTGGACCGACAAGAGGAGTCTTAAATGAAAAGAAGAATATTAGTAATTATTTTGATAATATTAATATAACTTATAAACTTATTTATAATTTGTTATTATAGGACAATTACTGTGAATACCAAAGCCGTGGTCAATGTGAGCCAAATTGTAGCTAAGAAAATGATTCAAAATAAAATAAAAGGATCTATAGTCAACATTTCATCGCAAGCATCAAAGGTAAATACGCTTGGCCTCGTTGTTGGTACATTAAAAATATATATCATTTATAAATATTAAAAAAAAACTTTAATTTAACAGGCAGCTCTAAGAGACCACACAGCATACTGCGCTTCAAAAGCAGCAGTGGATTCTATTACTCGCGTGATGGCTTTGGAATTAGGGCAATTTGGAATACGTACAAACACAGTCAATCCTACTGTAGTTATGACCGACTTAGGTCGTGCAGTATGGGCAGAACAAAGTAAAAAGCAGGCCATGCTATCAAAAATACCTTTAGGAAGGTAAGATCTAGATGCGATTTTCTATTACTGAAATATAAACATCGATTTATAGGATATAACAATCTATATCCTTTCTTATTGTCATTGTATTCAGATTATACATGTAGACTCGGAAATCATCAAACAATAATCAAAAAAGGACAGTTTGAAATGGATGATAATGGATTTTTAATGGGTGTAGATGGAATGGTAACAGTGTAAGATGACAGGTGAGGATGAAGGTAGGTCAGTGGCCCATAGTGACAATTGAACAATAATAAACCACTATGGTTTCCAGGGGGAACCGCGTGGAGGTCAACCTGATGGGGTGTATTGACAGCAATGAGGCTGTTAAATCTCATTACTAACAATTCCTTTCCCCCGATAGTGGAATGGTAACCTCGCCTCCGCTAACGGTATACGCTGGTAATATGGGCACCAGTGACGGATGATAGGTAATAATGAAAAGGCCGGTCAGTTAGCCTATTGTGATGAATTCACTTTGAGAGTACGATAGTTTCCAGAGATAACCACGAGGAGTCCGACCTGACAGGAAGTATTGCTAGCAATAAGGCTGCAAATGCCCGTTATTAACAATCCCTTCTCCCAACTAAAAGGGCAATAGTAGCAGGTAGTGGTTAGGTACACATTTAAATCCAAGCAAGTAAGATTCTTTTTTAACCGATTGTAAAATGTTTCTGCTTGTAATTTTTAATGATTAAAACAGTACTTTCGGCAATACTGAACTGAATTTTTAAAATTCAGTTTACTTTTGTTTTATATTAATTTTGTTTGAATAAAATCCTATTTGCTGCTATATAAACCCCCTCCCTCCTTTATTATTATGTAAACTTTCAGGCTTCTATATTACAGAAATTCCGTCGATTAAATTTAATTGGAGTTCAATTAGGCGCTTAATATGTCTATTTTAATTCTCGCTTCCGATATTTGAATGACAGTTATTCATCCTCGGATGTTCATCCTCCCTCATCCGACCTATTCTATTTTATCAAACTACAAACACGATGTAGATACCTACTTACCGTTCCTCCTCCCTCATCCGACCTATTCTATTTCATCAAAACTGCAAACACGGTATAGATATCTACTAAGCCTATTTTTAATTCCCTCATTCAAATTATTTTCAACATTAAGGTCTTACCTACCTTTTAACAGGTTCGGTGAGGTGTCCGAAGTAGTGAACGCGGTTTTGTTCCTGCTAAGCGAACAAGCGAGCATGATTTCTGGTGTACACTTGGCCGTTGACGGAGGCTTTCTAGCTTTATAAAAATTCTACTAAAGCTAAATGTTGTTTAATCGAATAAAGCGAAAAAAATACCTAATTTAATTTTATTCAGTTTATTGTGCCAAATGAATTATACATACTGGACATAAGAAACAATGCAAGCATAACAATTTATATATAATGCATATTATGCTAAGATAGGCTAGCATAGATGTAAGTATAAAGAGAAAATATACCACGTGATAAGGTAAATTAAATGTAACACAATTATACTTCTAGAACTATAAATTAGTCCAATCTTTTTTTTTTTTCAATAAAAATTACTCGCACTTGGAGGGAGTAAATATTCTCATATACTTAAATTTAGTGTTTTACGATATCCAATAAAGCCCACGATTCTCCTCTAATCCCATATCATTCTACAACTACTAATATCGATTCATCCCCTCCGCGTAACAACGCGTGAACCGTTCCAATCCACGTTCAATGAGAATTATTACTTCAAAGCGGGAATATCAACCGGTACACGACACGTAGCTACACAGATTCGATCCAATCAAAAGGTATGCGTAGAATAACAGCAAAATAATCGAATGACATTAACACTACAACAGTTATGTATGTATTTATTTTCATTACCTAGGATATTGTAAAAAACAGTGTGTCAGCTTATCTAAATACCTTACAATTATTATATATACAAGATCCATAAAGTCTTTCGTCGATTAGAGCGTACACTTACGCTAGAGCAAGCACGACCATTCCACGCCAAAAGCGTTTATCGACATAAAAAATAACGGCACTCAACACACGGGACAACGCAGGAAAGTTGCCGAGCGACCGCCGCACAGTTGCCGAGCGACCGCCGCACAGTTGCCGAGCAACCGCCGCGACGCCGCCGCACTCCCGCGCACTCGCCGCATACTGCTCAATCATCGCTCCGTTCGCCGTCGCTTATAGCGGTTCAAGATAACACTGCCGTTTTGAAGCATATGAACACAATTTTAACACAATGCATCTAATCAATGTTAGTTCACAAAAAATATATAGATATCATTAAATTGTATTCATGTACATGATGATATATAATTATAAGAACTAAACTGAACACTTCAGTCGACTCAAAACCTTTCAGATACAGCACACAAGGGAATAATGTTGTCTGTTTAAATAACATGCCTGTTTAAAATGCTATTATATACCCTGTTGACTAACAACTTATGTATTACAATTGAATTAAAGTAATCATAATGTATATAGTCAATGAAACAAGCTCCAGATAATGAAATAAAGTTCAAAATAACTACATTTCTTATATCAATATTTAAAATAATTTTTAAGTATTAAAAAATTGACATGTTTAAATAAAAACTAAAAACTTATCTGAGGATAATATTAATCTTATAAGATTTGTAGTACAACCATCAAACGAAACTAAAATATTTACATAAAATTGAACCTAATTCTCAGTCATATTAAGAAAAGGGTGGTCCATTATGATGAACATTCATGTACAAAAAAAAATACAAACAATACGCCACTTGCTACTGAGAAATACATAATACAGCACTCCGCACTTATGAAGTAATTAATATTTACAAACTTCAATAAACTAATTACACATGTTCAAAATAAACTATATTTTTCCTGTTTCTTGTGTTGGAATATTTATTAATTAGGGTACAATATAATGTAATACTATAAATAGTATTGCATTTAAATGGGATATAGCAATGGTAACCAATCAATATTATAGGCAATTTGTTAAGTGTACAAAGGTAAAATTTTGGTAAAATATATGAGATCATAGTTTATACAAAAAGAAAAGATATAGAAGATAAACATGATGGGATTAGTAATTGTCTGGAAGCATGTAAACTTTCAAGGATTTATTAAAAAAAAAAAAAATTTTACTTTTGTTTTTGAAAAAAGTAATATCAGGCCACACGGGAGTGAATACTTTGGATTAAATTGAGAGAAGTCAAATTAAATACATAACCTTTTTGAAAATGATAAAAAAATACAATGATTCTGGAATAAAATGTTCAACAATCCACTATATTATTATTCAGGTCTAGCTCAATTGAAATTCTATAATATTTAAACAATTTAAAAATTTATCTAGTTAAAACTATGGCAGTGGCTAGACAGACCAAGTAGGTCATGGAGATTGAATGTTTCAATTTTTTAAAATTTGATGGATGTGCAAAATAATTTGGAAGACAACAATTTTGATTAATATGTTAAAAAAAATGAAGGACAAAGACTATTATTGCACACATTTTTAACTCATTTACATTTATATACACAAATGAAATTTTATTTCAGTAGTTATCAGTCAACTGTTGTGTAAAAATTGCAAAAACAATTTATAGCTTAGAATCAAAACCCAAAAAAATATTAAAATTGTAATTGCTATGCCCACAACTAAATGTTTTACTGTAAATTAAAAAAAAAAAACATTTAATATTTTTTTCATTATCTCTATTATAATCACAATTTAGTTTAAAAGTAAAAAAGAAAATACATCCTGATGGTCATATACTTTAAGAGATAGTATAATTTGTCAGTATTTCGCCTTACTCTTAAATCTAAATATAACTGAGCATAAAGTACAATGGATGCTTGGGTAGGCCTATTTATATAGCTATGCTCCAATGAGTCACAATAAAACGACAAAAACGTTCTATTTCATTTAGTCCACGGCCCACTCATAAACTTACTTATTCTAAAATTAAATAATTTACAATATATGAACGTTAACATGAATGCGTACAAAATTGTTTTCTTTAATACAGATTTAGCATTCCGTGCCGTCACGTACGAACGTCGTAGTACGTTCACGCTGTCAATTCCTAACGAATTTGGCGACATCGTAGATGGTAAATTCACTCGTCATGTAAGGGGGTGCCGAGTCTGTAATGTTTGTTCGGGAGAACATAACATGCAGGTCACAATACTAACAGGGCTTCAGAATGTTGGTGTTATATTAGTGTACGGAGGGTGAGGCCCCTCACCGCCACTCCGAGATGGCCGCCACCGTCGTACTAGGTTGTCCTGCCGCACCAGCCGCTGAAATATTAATAAGTTCAATTTTTACTATACTCATACTGCTGCTCCTATTTATATAATTTTTCCATAAACTTTTTAGAATGGACAGAACGATTTTTTTTTAATTAATTTACTTCAGAACATTTGGATAAAAAGCAATGCTACAAGCAAACTAATTTTTCAATATTGACTTTTTTGAGAATAGATGTATCTTTTCATGGTCTAGGTTCATTTTGTTTAGAATATTTAGAACACTTTAAGGTTCATCTACTTTTCCTCTCTAACTACAACTTAACACGTTAATCGCCATGTCAGTCATATGTGTCTGACGCTAAGAAGTTCTACATGAGCCATGTCAGACATATATGTCTGGCGTACGCGATTTGGTAGAAGGCCACATCAATCACAGATGTCCGACGCAAACGATACATTTGCATTATGTTTCGAAAGCTTGGCCTATCAGGAGCAAAACCTGAAAATTTCTTGGCTTACTACAAACAATAAAATGAAATAAACATAGTTATATAATGGTGTATTGTTTCAGTTGAAAAAAGTAAAGTCATATGTGTGACATAAAAAATAGTCTTTTCCCGGGAATTTTGGCAAAAATAATTTTTTTCTGTGATACATTAAGTTTCCTTGATGCATTTTTAACTAAATTATAACATTACCATGGCCCATGTGAAAATTTTTCTAACATTATCGTGGTGCTTAATGTATTAAATTTAAAAATATTACTATCTTATATACTTTAAATATTGCTAATTACAAGTATATTGAAGAAAAAGTGTAAAAATTCAAATATGTGACTGAAAATTCTTATACCTTTTTTTTTAATTAATTTAATTTTTATTTAATCATGCACCATATAAAAATATTATCTATTAATTTATATGTTACTTACTAGTTTCTTGTTCTTGATTTTGTTCATGGCGTCTAATAGTGCGATCATTACCACCTGATTGGTAATTTCCTCGTGGGCCTCCTATAAAAAGTAAAGAAATCGAATTACAAAAAAAAAAAACAATACTAAAACAATAATTACTGAATCCGGCTTCACGGTTGCAGTTCATTCTGTAGGTGGTAGGTAGATGGAATGGTAACCCTGCCTGTGCTATCGGTATACATTGGCGGGGTACCAGTGAAAGGTGACAAGGTGAGGTCGACCCTATCAAGTTCGTAATGAGATTTAAGAGCCCCATTGCTAGCAATGGGGCTGTTAAATCTCATTACTAACAGTCCCTTTCTCTCTCACAGCTCCAGTTACAACATAGAATGGGACACTCCTTCTTCCTATGAGTGTCGTAAGAGGCGACCAAGGAAATTTAATAGCCAAAGGGCAGCAGCGACCTTCTTAAAATACCCCTAAAGCTTAACCATGCCAAACCAAAATGATGATATGATGCAATTTGTAAGACTTATTGTTTACTAGTGCTTGGCCTGTACGACAAATCTCTCCAATCCATTATATAGGTTATATTGTGGTAGTTTTATGGTTATTTTTTTAATTATGTGATACCAAATTCAAGTTTCCAGTCCCAGTTATGTATTAACAAATTATTAATCTAAACAAATATTTTTATATGAATTATGATAGTTGCAGTCAGACACAAAAAAATAATAATTAAATTTAATTAGAAAAAAAAATGGTTTTCAAAAATAAAATTAATGGATTAAAACTAATACAATGAGTTAAGCAATGTATCAGAGTGCTCGCCTCAGTAGATCACGTAGACCACGATGCCTTAATGTATATTCAGCATTTTAGTATAACTAAATTATAATTAATAGTTTTCCATTGAATCGGCAATATACAAATTGAGGACACTAGTGTCGTGCGCAAATTCATTAGCACGTGTTGGTAGTGATGCTCTTTATCAGCAGTTCTATAACAGTTGCGTATGTAATATAAATGTGTAAATAATAAACATGATTTCGAAAAAATACATACCAAATTTGAGCATATTCCAATCAAACATATAGTCATAGGTGAATCCTTGTCGATGGAAGAGAGTACGGAACAATTGACGGAGGTGACTATAGTCGGGCCTCTCCTCGAAACGCAGCCGTCGGCAGTACTTGAGGTACAGTTGGAACTCAATTGGGTGGTTCTAGAAAACACGATTTCGGAAACAATTAATCAATGTAAATATTTATAAAAACATAATTATTAACTTTTTCATTATTACAAACTAGCTGTGTTCCACAACTTCTTCAAAACAGTAAATGTGACTAATAATAGGCAGAAACAAAAAGTAATCTTTTAAGTTGTCAAAAGGCAATAAATAAATAAATAAGCACACTTGGTTTCAAATATATATGACTACGTGAATCCCGCGGCTACGCATATATAATTGGGTACATAAAGTATCCGATATGCTAAGATAGGATATCGGATACTTTTCACTTTACCTTACTTTTTATTTTATGGAGAACCTACTCATATACTAAATGTAATAATTCAAATCCGTTTAGTAGTTTTTGCATAAAAGGATAACAAATATTCATCCATCCTTACACACTTTCACATTTTTAGTATTAATAAAATAAAAAAAAAAAAAAATTAAATGCTCTTGATATGCATATCTCTTAACAATGGCTAGACAGATTTGGTTATTTTACATTAAGATTTTTAGTGAAATTTTTTTTTTTTTATTTAAATAAGTCAGCTAGTCAATAATATTACTAAGGATTCATATTAAACATATTAATTAGTTAACAAGACAAGTAAAGGAAAAAATCACAATAAAAAAGCATAAAATGAACTCGTTTTGCCTGAGGAAGCATACAAAAATCGTTTGCTTGAGTACCTCTGTCCCATTCGTGTTTCAACCATAAAGCAGTTGTGTTTGCATGGCTGTATTTCGGTTTGAAGGGTGGGATATGGCGTGAATTTACAGGGTACAGAGGAATAACACCTGAGTCATCTGGAATGGCAAAGCATGGGGGGTATCATGGGCGAAACAGTATACTCTGTTATATCCATGGTACTGCTCATGTCTATGGCGACGGTTTCCGCTTTCCATCAGATGGACCTTCAGCTTGTTTGCCATTCTAAGTTGTATAAAAAAAAATGTAAATATTTTTACTTACTTTACAAAGCTCATCAAATGGTGTTGAAAGTTTCTTTTCAGATATTCTCTCATATTTCTGACGTTTTGTGGCAGCTTTGAGACCCTGCCATGGAAGGCTACCGCGGTTGAAATACATTAGCACGTATCCAAGTGACTCCAAGTCATCACGACGCGACTGTTCTATGCCTAAATGCGTATTAATCGAAGCATATCTCGCCGTACCTGAAATAATTTAGTTTTATTTTAATTAATTTTATGTATTTAAAAATTTCACAGAAAGAAATTGGATTGAATTATCTACTGTATGCAAATGACGAGGTGGTTAATAGGTGTCTGCATAGTTTTGTTAGTAATTTTCATATAGATTATTCAATACTAACTGTATCTTTCTGCTTTACCTGTGATTTAAAATTATAAACACTACACATCTTGAACCTGGATATAGTCCAAATTTGATTCAAATCCTTTTAGTTCTTGATTAACAATCCATTTAACATGATTGAGTAACAAACATCAATACATTATTATAAGCTTATATGTAATTTGAAAAAGAAAACTCAACTAGTTTTACACCTAGTATCTGTAAGTATCTAATACTAATATTCTTATGAACAATATAATTACATAATTTATCAATTGTGGTATTATTATAATTACATTGTTATTTACAGATTGACATTATTTACCTGTTAAATTCTTGTTTTCTCTGTATGGAATATGTTGCAGCGTGCGTGGATCTTTGTACTTCTTTGCTAAGCCAAAATCTATTATGTATACTAAATTCCCTTTTTTACCTAAACCCATAAGAAAGTTATCTGGTTTGATATCTCTGTAAGAAAAAAAAATCTATATGTCATAAATTTAAACTAAAATAAAAGGAAATATTTTTTTTATATGCAATTGTTATTTATACTGAACCTATGTATTCTGAAGAATGTCACATTAATAAAAGATTACACTCATCTCTATTTCTAATGTAACACAGTGAGAAAATTGGCGGTGATTAACAATTCAAATATAATTACATTGTAATCTATAATACAAAAACATATTTCCCCAATAAATATAAAAAACAACAAATAGATAATAAACATAAATGTCTTAGTTTCAAATATCCACCACTTAGCAATTACATAGACATCATAGATTAGGACAAGTAGAAATTATTACTTTACATGAAATAACCTATTAAAGAGATGCTCCTCATACTGTTTACACAGAATCAATATATGAATATATGAATTATTTATAACTTATCTTACGTATTTTTAAAGTTTAATTTTTTCTGATCAACAATTCAAATCAAACATGTCACACTCATCGTTATTTGTGAGATATTAAATGGGACCCTATTGTATTGATTATGTTTTATTGCCTAAACTATTATAGTTTATTTATATTTTCTGTTATTTTTACAACTGGTTGATAACATCATATCATGTTAAGTCTACTTTTTATACTAGTTATCTAGATGTATTAAAGTTCAATAATTAAATAAGGCTTATGGTTCTCATAACACAACAATGTTTTAGTTTCAATACAATAATAAGTAAGAATAACTAATAGCAGAGCTACCCAGATGAGGCCTATGCAACTCGACCACTGTTGCATAAAGAGAAAGAATATTAGATTTTTTTTATCTTTGAGACAAATATCAGTAAGGGGTAGATAAGTTTCAATGAAAAATTATATCTTAAGACTACTTTAAAACTTGAAAATGACTTTCATCTAGACATTCATAATTTACAAATATTGGATACTGATATTGTTATTTTATGTCATTTCTGTTAAGAGAAAACATTTTGAAAAAATACAAATATTAATAGTAATATACTATTTTTAACTCCTAAGAGTAGTCACAGGAAATGTTCAATAAGAATATGAAATGAATAGCATACCCAGACAAGTTATACCTGTATAGCGATATATATTGACTTCATGTATTGAGAGATACTGCCCTCATGTCAACAATGAACAACTATCAATCATTACTTGATAACAGTAACTAATAGAAGTTTAATATATATATTATTTATAAAGTATATAATTTGACTTTATGTCTTGAGCTTTGTATGTGAATGTAATCATTTAAGTTTGATGTGAAATAATAAAATATTGAAATAAAGATAATTAAAAATACATGCCTATGGATGAAGTTTCTATAATGAATATCTTCAATACGGGTGATGAGCTGATCAGCAAGAATTAGCACAGTCTTCAAGGAGAAACGGCGTGAACAAAAATTAAACAAGTCTTCCAAGGAGGGACCGAGCAATTCCATAACCATCACATTGTAGTCTCCTTCAGACCCACACCATTTTATTGCAGGAATACCAACTGCAGACAACACATATTTTGTATTAGAAATATGAATACGAATCATAAAAACAATTTATTAAAAATTTCATAAGTACACTTAGTACTTATGAAAGTATAAACAATACATGTAAATTAATCCATTAAAATAATTTTATTTTTAATGGATAATTAACAAATAAATTAATAATATTTAATAATTAATTAATTAATAGTATTTTACATCTAATTCCACAATTATTTTTCTACATATAAGAGGTATATGTAGTAATAAAGTAGTAGTATGTATGAGTAAAACTATTGTGGAATAATGTATCCTTATGATATAATTACTTTATTAAACTTATTATTATTAATATAAAACATATAATTGTTTTAAGTCTTTGAATTTCTTTTATAAGAATATTTTTAGAAATAGTAATTACTATTTAGTATATACTATTTTATATTTTCAAACACTTGATTGTTAACTTGTAACATGTTAAATGAAATAATACTAAATTTTACTGTGAAATATTAAAGTATTATGACTACAACTATATTACTATTTCTAAAACTAACTTATTAACAATAATATAATCAGTTATAAAAATGGGTTTGATAATCAAATGTTTTTTTATTGACTTTTTATATGGCATACTTTTTGTATGCTTTTTATATGTAAAATAAATAAGAATTTATTACTGTGGATCCCATCATTCATTTCTCTATCCAATTCTGTGTTGATAATTGAAACATTCATGTCAAATTTGATGTTTTTCAAAAGGAGATAAAAGTCTAATAAGACTACATTACAGTTATTTATATACACTTTTTTTGTTAGTTTTCACCTTACCTATTTGCTCTTTTGTTAATTTAGACACTTCATATTATATGATTATGACCTTTATAAGTCAGTTATGAAGAAAATATTCAACATAACCAATAAAAGGTTAAGTTCATTTTAAAGATACAAGATAACAATGTTTAAACTTATTTACTTTTTTATATATAATTTGCAATGATCAACTTTTTTTAGAAAATGATCTTACTGTATAACAGAAACTGAATTAAATAGGTCAATTAGCCTTTCCAGTAACAATATCACCTTTTTTCACAAGTTTAGAAATTTTCAATAAAATTAAAATTACTATTAAATTACTTACGTCCTCCTTGCATAAGCTTATAAAATTTACTTTCTATGTGTAATTGGGGATGTCTTGTTTTTATGCATTCTAATTTAATTGCTACCTCCTCTTTGGTCACAATATTGGTTCCTGAAAAATAAATTTGATTTGAATATTTTTAAGCAGTTGAATCCTTTAGTTACCAATTTGTTTTTAATTTTAATACAACACAAAATGGAAAACCATTTTGAGAGCTGTGTAGTAACTTATTCTCTAAGAAAATTTCCAACATTATAGATTCAATCAAATGAATCATTAGTTAGGTACTTATTTTATAAAGATGACCTAAAAAATATAACAATTATCGATGTATATATTTCATCAATGAAACGTCTTGTGAAAATAAAGACTATCAAAGATTACTTAATGTCCACCACTTCAAAATTACATATTTCGAAACAAAAAATCGCAGCTGGCCTACTACATTAACCATCTTTCTTTGTTTACAATCGTTTCTGTTAACACTTACCAAGATAAATATCCCCAAAGGAGCCTGAGCCAATTTTACGACCCAGTCTGTACTTATTCCCAACTCGAAGTTCCATTATGATATTTTAGATGAGATAAAATCACAATAATATCACTGACCACCAAATCATTACAGGACGGCCATATTGCGATAGACGCAGATCTCTACTTGGGCGAACTGTGTAATTTTGGCTGGAATTAGTTCCTATACTATATTGATTATTATTGAATAAGGGTTTATTTTATAGCCAATCTTATAACACTTTTAGATTACTTGTATTACATAAAGTATTTTAGAAAATCTCGAATATCCTAGTTATACACGCACATGAGGAATCCTTTTCGAGAATCAGCCTACAAGGAGATATAGTAATGCTCCATGGCAACACTAATGAATGTTGCCATTATTTGAATTTAAAATTCCATTAATTTAATTAAAATAAAATTATTTTTTAAAACATTATGGTCTAAGAACAAGAATTACATAGAAGTGATAAAATTGACAATTTATAGCAGGCTAATGTATATAAAATATTATGCGGCCGTATAACCCTACCAAATTCAAATACAACCTGCTTGCGTACTTTCTACATAAACTGTGTCGAATATATAATCTAGTAATTGACATATCAAACATTTTCAATACACTAGCCTGGTATGAATGGGTATGAAAGAGATTTGAGTCAAGCACACATCTACTGACGCTTGTAAAACAGATGTGGAAAAATGAGAAAATAGTGTAAAGGTGTAACTGTCTATGGAGCTATAGTAAATTATGAACAAAAAAGACAAAACAAATTGAAATTATTTTTTATAGTTACCAAACTATTAAAAAAATCATTCAAACCTTATCGCTAAATACATATATACATTTCTTTTTTAATAAAAGAGTAAATTAAATAAATATCTCGATAAGACTTTTAGACGAGTGGCAAACAATTCTATCGACCGCAGAATAAGGATAGTATCTATGGTATTTTCGTTCTACACCATCGATGTATTCGTTAGTATGTCAAGATTTGTCCATTCCATTTTCTCCGGTACCCTTTCCAGATGCGAATGAAGTACTGCAAAAACACCTAAATATTTTTATGGCTATATATATATATTCTTTTTTTGCATAAGTATTCCTATGCCCTTTTTTACGGGGTTAGGCCCACTCTATAAAATAATTTTAAATATGCCAATGCAACATGAAACTCCTCTAATGTTATTAAGTCTATGAACTGCAGTGACCTCTTTTGAATAGTTACGCACAGTGCGGTTTCAGAAAAGCTTCATTTCGCGAATGCTCACGTTGTGGAATAATCTTACTGTCGAGGCTTTCCCTAGAGACTACTTAAGAAACTTTAATACACCCTTTTTAGAGAACCCCATGCTTCTTCAAAAAGGGCTTGTTAAGGTTTCTTAAGGGTCGATAACGCGTGTATAACATCCCTGATATATCAGGCGTCCATAGGCTACGGTAACCCCACTTACCATCAGACGGATCGTATGCTTATTTGCCACCATAGTAATATAAAAAAAAGATTATAGGGGCTGCAAATTTGGGGACAAAATTTAATGTTATTAATATAAAGTCATAATTTCATTAACAAAAAATTGTGAACGGTATCGATGGAACAAAAAGTCTATTGGCGGCAAATATGTAAATCCATCATATTCATTTCCATTAATGCCCATGGAATATAAGTTCTCTGAGTAGTCTGTAGCTCAGAGGTACTAAGTAGGCCCTGGATGTCGTGTCTCATAAACAATTTGCAATAGCCGATAAAATTTTGCACGATATTGATAGCGAACTAACAGCGACTAGCGGACGGATGTAGGTGCTGCCTTAGCAGATCTATATAAAAACTACTATCGTTCTACAATATTACTACAATTACATGTGTGAGGGTGTCGCCCTCTGGTATTAAGAATTTCTAGGCCACTTTTGCTATCATTATCTACGTGTAACCTTTAACGTCATTTGAAATTATGTACTAACGGGTAGAACTAAATAATAGTTTTAGTTCCTCCAGATGCAGTAACACCAACGTACACTTGCTTGCAATAGCTTTTAGATAATAATATGAAAGATGTCAATTTATATTGATAACAAATATCAAGCAATTTTCAACTATCGCAAATTGCAAAATATGTAATCCGGGGTTCGATATGGTCCTTTCTGATTATATCGGACAGTATCGAGTCAGATCCTCGAAGTCGGTACCTGCAAGCCGGGATAGTTGGAGAGTCAAACATTTCAGTTTAGGAAAATAAAATTCAATTGTTTTCACTCTTGCATTTATCATAAACATTTATAATAATAATCTGTTCTAATAGGAACAAACATCAAATCATTTCTTCCAAAAATAGTTTAGGTATGTTTTATGAAATCGGTGCTACATTTTTCTCTTATAGCGTTTGCAATTTGATTGTATGTCGTTATATAACTAACTCTAATTTACAAAAATATTTTACTTGTAACTAATAACACATTTCAAAGATACTAAATAGGTACTATGTGTTTGGACATTATCTACTTAGTATTCCAATTAGGTAATTGAACAAAAATAATAAGACTTAGTAGTAATATCTACTAGATATTATTAAGCAGGTTGTCAACTTTAATAAGGAAAAAAACCATCAAGCTAATTGACAATAAACCCTACTTTTAATCACACAAAAACGTAGATAAAAAAATATTTTATTTGCCTATTTTAATTTAGGTAACTAAAAATGCAATAATTAATATTATTATACAAATAAATGTTAGATAAATATAATATCTAAAATTAGGCTAATTTTCATTATTTTAGGTGTATGTAATAGGATTAGGTACTAAAATATATATAAGATATAATAAATGGTAACTTTTATATGAGATTTCGTCATTAAATGATAAGTAGATAGATGAAAACAATAAAATATGTATTACTGTCTGCAGTATACCAATCTGTAAAAAAAGTTGTCTTTTTAGGTACGGTTTAAATAGCTGTAGTGATTTATGCATAAGTATATAATTACATTTTTGGCAACATTTACTCACCTTTTATAGGGTAGGTACCCGATCTAACTATATTGTGGCACTGGACAAATATTAAATTTACTGACCTTTATAATAAATGAACATATGAGCTCACAGTGAACTTATTTTGCAGCTCTCGGCATTTTCGGACTTATCAATATAGTTATATTTTTGTTTCTTTTTTTTTTTGAAAAACAAAGTGCCATGATGAGAAATAATTGTGATAACCGACATAGAAGAATTATAGTTATAATTATAATATACTTCAGTGTGATTTACATTATACGGCCAAACCAATATAATAATAATTATGAGGGCGAAAGAAACTCCTGCACATTATTTAATATCCCTAATTAAATAATCCGAAATAACTAAGTACCTCCTTAGCTACTGGTAGTACCAAAGCTGCAAATCTAAACAGATGGTTAACACACTACCTATATAAAATCTATCTAACATAAGATATATATTTTATTTAGATAGATTAGATATAGGGGCACCATAGAGTACTCCTCTATATTTTGTTATAATAGAAATAACAATATTAAAACTAAAACACGGCTCTCCGTTCATAAATATGTAATAAGGTATATATGAGACAAACTGATAATGCATTCACTTAAGTATGAAAAAATCACTGATTACTTTTAGGTAGGCACCTAAAATTCTAAACTGACAGTATTTAATTTAGATGCAGAATTGATTACTGTTGGTATGGCCGAAACAACAATATTATTTATTTAATACAATATTAAGATACTTATAAAGTTGAAAATAAACGGAAGATACGAGCGAGAGACAGAGCGTAACGTGTAAATATATATTAGGTATGAAGGTTTTATGCTGTTTTATTATATGGCTAGAGGCCAGATTCGATATTAAGTTGATTGATTGAAGATAATATGTATGCTTAGGTACTCATATTTTTTATTATATATTTATATTATTATGTTTGGTATAATTTGGGCTTTTTGGCACTAAGTGTTAAGATTTTTTTAAGATGTACAGCATATAGTAAGTGCAATATTTTTAATATTTAAAATAGAACCACGAATGGAAATTTTTAGAACATACCAAAGATAAATATAATTTATAACCAGACAACACCATTTTCATTCTCAACGAACACGATCTAACTTATACCTATTTTATAGGCACCAACGTTTTCATATCACGAGCAATATATTTTTTTCATAAGACTTTATAATATAAATAATCACGCGTATCAAGTCACATAAAATATCATCACATACTATGTGGATTGATTTTATTAAAGAGCAAAAATTTAAATTATGTCGTATTGTTGTTTTTGTTGTTTTGTCAGAATTCAACTAAGCTGTTTTATTTTTGATAAAAATATACGTATTCTTCAATTCGTAGACGTCGACTTCGATATACCATTAAGAATTAATATAAAAACCTGTTTATGTATTAATTGTTAATTTTATATAAATACTTCGAATAAAGTGTGAAGATATATATATATTTTGTCCACAATGCACTTTTAATTTTCCGTCAACGATATGGCATCAAATTTATAATACATAGTTACATAGAAACTGACTAAGCTGAACACCTTGCCGAGTACATACAATTTGAGCACTGACCTACTTAAGCAGATATTCTGTTATTTTGAAGAACGTTGTCATTATAAAACTTTTCAACAAATACGGAATAATAAAAATTTTGTAATGGTATCTATATCACTTGATGGATGACATATCACTAATCACTAATTTAAATTGATTTAATTTAAAATCATAAGAAGAGAACAGTGACTAAAATAAGTAGGGTAAATTAAATTAAGATAAGAAAAAACAATCAATTTGTAAGTATTATATGTTATGTGGATGGAGATTTTACATGAATTTGGAATTCTTCTTATATAAATAAAATCATTCGTAAAAGCGTACGAGCATACATATAAAGCGCGCTACAACGCATGGAAACGTATCTTTTTAAGATACTAGTTGCCAGATACTAGATTTCCCATGCCAAATACTATGTGGATGTCAAGTTTAATGACGATTGGCTGACCTGTTTAGTTGCTAAGAGGTAACAATTAATAAATAAATCAGAGACATAAATACCAGATAGTTTTTCTAACAACTCTACAGAACGACAAAGTGTGTAAGATAAAGTGACACTGTGTATTCTTCAAATTCGGTGAAATATAAAATGATCATACCTAAATCAATAAAACACAATTAGTTATAGAAAAAATATACAAGCAAAATAATCATATTTTTATAATTTTGGTATATAGGTACGGCTCAGAGATAAAAAATATGTAGTAATATGAAGTAGGTACAATTATAATACTTTATAAATTGTTGCGTCGCTCTCTAATTACATAACGATAGACACAAAAGGTGTTTTAATGGCATACATATGTTACTACACTTTCACTTTGAATTAATCATATTTACTTTTGTATTTACCTACTAAATAAAGAATTACAAAGTACCACTTGATTCTTCTCTTTTTGATGTTAAAAATAAATACCAAATCTGTACATGTAAAATTAGTTCTATATGAATTGACTTCATAAACTTAGATGTAAATTTGTAGTTTAAAGAAATCTGTACAAATATGTTCACTAATGCGTATTGGATTACCGATATAATGACCAATTCCATTTATCTCTACCAACTACCCTAAAAATAAAAATAGAATTTTATTCCACCCATCTTTATAGAAATGAATACTTCGTTTCCAATTATTTCCACCGATTGTTTTTTAACAAGTACGCTTCAATACATAAATATGTAGGTAAGTTAACGTTTATATAATAATAGATAGATAATTGGAATATTCATATATTTCCATACATCTGTTGTTCACATTCCATTGAATTTTATAATGATGTAAAGAAACGTTACCCATCGTATTTACCTACTTGTGTTTCAAGGATAATTTTCTGTTACAGTAAGTAGAGTAATTTTAAATTTAGAAAAAAATTGAGATTCATACCTAAACTTAGTATAACAAATAATTAATTCTAATAATCAATATCGAAGCACAGTAGGTATATATACATATAGATAATTTGTTATTAGGTAACTCTAAAAAAAATTAATGATCGAAAGAAGATTAATTGTAACCACAGCCAGTCCTATCCTTGTAGGATATATTTATATTAATCTGTTCTGATCCTCTAAGTTAAAGTTGGAATGTTTACTTCGTGTTTTAATCCAAATTTTACAAAGTGTATTGGTCAAAGCACAATTAGTACTTAGGTAAAACATAATTATTTATGATATAAGTCCTATAATTTATAGAAATTCCCTTTAGCGAGCCAATTTAGTAATGTTCTGGTGTGCAGGCGGGTCTGGCGGTGCGACAGGCGAGACGGGTACGGGTGCGGTGTCAGAGGCAGTCGCGGACAGTCGGCGGGCTCTCCTCCCGGTCTCTGTCGGTCGCCTCGTTATTGTTTTGTTCTTGGTCTCTATTTAATACGAACACAGGCTCGACATTTTCATCTTCACTATTGAATCTGTAATTTTTATAGTTATGATTTTCATTAAATATAAATATTACGTTTGTCGATATTACTATGAGAATAAAGTTGTTTCTATTATTGAATATTAACTATTGTAAGTCGTACCATATTGTAATTATTTATATCGACATTAATTAAGTATTAAATTCAGGGATGCCCAATAAATTTCGAAGTCGTCAAGAGTCCTTAATCATATTTTCCTTATTTTAATAATCTCATGTACTTAGTACATAATCGATTAATATTTTGTAATGCAGATACTTGATATTAGAGGTACTTTATGTCACCATTACAATGTACATGATATATTCGTAGACAGTATGAAACTTCTTGAAAAATATAAATTATTTCGAGATTGAAATCGTGCTGTCTTTTTAGTTTTAAACTTTCTCATTCAGCAGATTAATATTATTTATTATTGTGAATCAGTAGATGCGAATTATTTCATCTATTCTCTCAACCGGTCGAAATATCTAGTGAGGTAAATACTTTATTTTCTGTTAAATAATTTGTGTTAAGGCGAGCCAAATAATATTAGTAATATGCTTAGTCTCGCAGAATAATTTAAATTGACATAAACTACTCATGAAGGATATCTCTCAACACCATGTAAACTATGTAAAATTTAATTACGAAATATTTTTTTATAATTTACTTAGGTAATTAAATTTGGAATTTGATTTGTTGTCCTTTTTTTGTAAAACATTTTTATGTATTACAAAAAAAGGCAAACATGCTATTAGCTCGCCGCTTGGAAAATGATAACCGTCATCTATAGACATTAACAGTACATTGACCCCTGGGGTGTTATGGAATTAATAGTAATGGGAATCTTATTGATTATCAGGTCGACCTCCACGCGGTTCCCCTTAGAAATCATCTTAGTCAATTCTTGGGGAATTCATCACGATAAACTAACAAGCCTGCTTTGTTTCTCATCTATTATTCCTTACTAGGACCTTGCCAGTGTATACCGATAGCACAGGCAGGGTTACCATTCCATTATCATCCATAAAAAAAACCCCTCATGAATTGTTATTCCTGACCACTATGATGGGGTGAAAGGGCCCCATTACTATTAATAGCCCCATTGCTAGCAATACACCCTATCAGGTCGACCTCCATGCGGTTCCTCATGGAAACTATCGTGACTAAGTTATCGTTCAATTCGTCAGGATGGGCAAACTGACCTGCCTTCTTATCCTCTCACTGGTACCCCGCTAGTGCATAGCGATAGCGAAGGCAGGGTTACCATTCTATTATCATCCATTAAAAAAAAGTCCACTACGATGTAGTCTCCGTATGCTGTAATTCTACTGTCGTATCAATCCGCATCCTTTAAACCAAAATACAGCTGTGTAAAAGCAACTGTTTCATATCAAAAACTCGAGTACAATAAAGGTATCTATCATCATCGTCATTTCAGCCATTATATGTCCATCAGGTATCTAGCAGAGAACTTTATTACAAAGTACCCTTTGGTGGGTAAAATTAGGATTGAGTTAGTAACGATATCGATTGCTTATCTCAATGTTAAATATTCTGTAACAACTTACTGATATCTAGGTCCTTCTCCTCTCATCGTACATATGGCGTTTGTGAGTGCTTTCACATAATTTTTGGCAAGAGTTAATGTCTCAATCTTGGACAGACTTCTATTGTCTTTCTTAACATGCGGTATGACTCGTCTTAAATCCTGAAAAAGAAAATATGGATTAATATTTACATTTAAAAACGTATTATATATAAGAGCATTCAAACCAAATTTTGAGAACGTCTGTGTATATCAATCGAAAAGGTTTGCTCATATGTTATTCCCATACCTACTAATTTAATTGAGATTTAAGCAAAATCTTTAATTAAGTATGTATTTGATTCATTACGATAAACACTCGTATACATTAGTATACTTATATAGACACTTACTTCGAAGGCGCGATTCAACGAATGCATACGCATCCTTTCACGTTCATTGCTCTCGAGCCTACGGAGGTTACGCTCTCTAGCAGACACACCACAGCGGCGGCGGCGTCCGGGCCCCGTGGAGCCGCTGGCACTTGCTGTTGATGAAGATGAGTTGGCAGCCGCTCGTCGCGGTCGGCACACTCGTCTCGTGACTTGTTCGTCGCTCCCACTGCCGCTGTCGTAAAAATCTGTAAATGAATATTAAAATCAAATATAAGAGCGTTCATACCCTTGATTTGTGGAAACGTGGCAACGTAGAAATTATCTCGTTTAAATTTTACAAAAATAATTGAACATTTGAAATAACTAACTAATTATAACAAAAAAAATAATAATAATAATTTAAGATTTTGCTGTTAAAAAAAGCTAACAGCTAGATACTTTAATCGTAACAAAATTAAAAAATACTACAATAAACAGGTGTAAACTGCTAATATAATTATCGAAATCAATTTAAAATGGAAAAATAACACTTAACAACATACAAAAAATATTATAGGCGAACTGGCAATCTCCTATTTTAAAAAATGGAAGCTTGTTATATATCTTCCATTGTACCCTTAGCAGATATAATTATTATATATACATACTACAAAAATTGCCATAACGTCCAAGTACCCAACTACATAGATTAATGATTTGTTTTGCATCCTATAAATTTTCGTTAAGTGCGTGTGGGAGGCTTATCGGGCTGGTGTTGATGTCAGACACGCGCCTACGTCACAAAGGCACTCCGTCATGAAGCGGTAAATTGGCAACTGCATCGACACGAGACGCCACGACACAGAAAAGAAGTGAGATCAGCCGATCACTGTTTTGTGCAACAAGTCAGCTGCTCCGCGAAACTTGCCCGTTACGTGACGTGACTGCACGCTTGATAAACCATTTTGCGTAAGAACACGAATGCAGACTAATCGATTTGAACGCGCGGCTACGGGCGATTTTCGTAATGCTCTTATCTGCTTCGTGCCGTTTGGTGGCATCACATCATAATAATTATGTTTTAATTAGTTCCACTTTAAACCACGTACTTGCAATTATAACATATATTTACCCAGAAGAAATTAATACACACCTCCAGCTTGTTCTATTTTATCAGTGATATCTGGTTTGTTGTCGTAATATTCGGAAGTTTCATCTTCATAGTACGACACCATCTGATCTGGCGATTCTGCCTCGGAACCGCCACCCTCAGCACTTGCCCATTGGGGCATCTTGGAAACTGAAATTAACATACAGTTACTATTGTAATTTTATTGTTTTCATTACATTAAATAGGATACCAGAATTCATAATCTTTAGGTATTAATTTCAAGTAAATTTGTGGACAAATATAAGCATATATAAAAATCCACATATTTCATAGTTAACTTATTTAAAAAACATTTACGAGCTCATCATGCACTGTTGATTAAGTGGTTGTCAGCTTCCTATTATTTTCTTATTTTCTGGTCATAAATTACTATAACACTCTTTGACATTTAACAAATGTTTTAAAGAAATCGTTACAATTTATTTATCATGGTGTTGTCTTCGTAAACATCATAACTATTTCTTATACCTATACTCACCACAGATTAAAGAAATTATATATAGATTTTCCTTACCAACATACTATTTAGCCTACGGTTCAATTTTTAAACAACCGATAAAAATGCATTCGTCCACCAACTGTAACCGTCCACAGTATGCAATCAGCGAGTGTAAATGTTTATACATAGTAACTAATCAATGGTTATTCAGTATTTCTTTTTCACGCTTAAATATCTATCAATTTATTTAAACTAATCAAATGACCAAATATGCGTACCTATCTACTCATTATTTTGGAACAACTTCAAAAAAGAAGAAAATTTCAATTTATAATTACATTGAAGTCGCTGGATTATTTTTTTTTTTTCTTATTCTTTCTCTGTCCTTGATGTGTTACAAATCTAAATGTAATTTAATTACATACATTTGGTTACACACATCAAATATTTATAATCGTTATTTCATATTACGTGATAGGACCACAGTCTAAAGAAGTACTATCCTTTACCTAAACAGTACTTATCTGATAATTTTTTTTGTGCGACTTAGAATGCCAAACAAGCTGACGGCCGACCTGATGGAAAGTGGTAACCGTCGCCTATAGACATGAGCAATACCAGATAATGACAATTATACACTATCAACTAAGTTGTAGCAAACTTATTAAGCTATTTAATGATATCTATTTATCTCATGAGTCATGCATGAGTATATAGGTAGATAGATACTAAATAAGTTGTCTTAAAGTTCATAAATTAGAAAAAAATCTTCCCTGGAATAATAAGCTACTAAGTACTACTTACGAGTATTTATACACTGTCTATGAACTATCTACTAGCTTAATTTACAATAAAATTGAGAAAGCACGTTTCATAGAAATTTGCTTCTAATAATACGACAGGTAATCAGTAATATGAAATGCATATACTACATCAAGTTTTAAAACATTTGAAAATCTACTACATTTATAAAAATTAGATATGGAAATTTTTAATTTAAACATAGTAATTTATGTCCTTGGTGTTGAGAGAAGCTAATCAATATAGTACTAATTGCTCTCTAATTCTATAATTCGGTAATGTATTTATCTGCTACATACTCGTACGTATCCTGCAGTTATCCAGGAAAATGTCTATCATGTTATTACATCAACCGGAACACAACCGAATATTATTTATTGCAATATACCTATATTTTTTTCCTAAAATATGATTTTTACAATATTGTGAATGTATAAGTGTTTAAAGTGCCTCTTTTTCGTTTTAATTTCATAAATTTTATACTACCTACAATAGTACTAATGGCGGAAAGGATGTTTATAATTCTATCTACTTCTATACTCTAATATTCTGATTATATTTATAATAAAAAAATTTGAATTATGTAAAATTAAATGACATTCTGAATAATCTTACGAATAAATTGTGATAAGACAATGTCTGTACATGATAGATTTATTTTAAGGAAAAATAATATAATAAATAATATAAAAAAAATATATTAAACAATATTTTCTTAAAATTTTGTCTGTCTGAATGTATGTTTCTTCCGGCACCACGGAAAGACCACTACGCTAAGTTACACGCAGTTCTCACAGTTGTGTTTCTAAAGGTCTAACTTAAAATCTGAAGGTTTACCATGAAACGAAATTTCGAATTTTTGGACTCAATTTCGTGTTTTTGTTTACACCATACTCGATTCAATAAATGGAGCTTAACATTTCGTTCGTCTTAAAACCCACCATAAAAGTCCAAAGGAACGATATTTTAACATTTTTTGTTCGGCCCCGAAATTTTAGAAAACAATCCATGGTAGGCCCTCTAGTGTATTTGTTATCTTGATACGCCATAGAGGTGGTCTACTTTATTAGTTTTCCTACTTCTGAAACCACGCGTACGAAGTAGCGGGCAGAAAACTAGTATCCACTAACAATATTAATTATTTATTTTAATCCTATTATTGTGTAAATATTCAGGGTGTTGCGCTGTATACAAATGAGAAGTTACTGTGATAATTATAATGTACTGTTTATTATTTATAGAAACGTCAGATAACATGGGGTAGTTAGATACTATAATGACAGTGTTGGGGAAGCGTAACGTCCAGAGGCGGGGGTGTATCACACGGCGCGGCGCCGGCGGTCTCCAGGCGGCGGGCGTCTGTGGCGCCCACGCGACGCCCAGCCGCGCGACAAATGACACTCATGCCTCGAAACACCCATATGGCACATAATTGAAAAACAGTATAAATATAAACATACTTTATATAGGTGTAGTTTTATGGAATGCGATCGCCGTGACGCAGTAGTGCAAGTTACTCTGTGTAATAAAGGTCCAACGGTCGATTGTTGGTTAGAGCCAATTTAAAAAACGATTTTTCAAAAATTTACAATAATAGTTTTGGGTTGTGTATATAATAATTCATAATCCTAGCCAAATGACATCTTTATGCTGACCGATAGAATTCATAAATCTTTTTATGTATATATATATATATATATATATATATATATATATATATATATATATATATATATATATATATATATATATATACATATATATATATATATATGCTAGAACACACTAGGTACTTCGTATTATCATAATGTAATACGTGGCTATGTCGAAATTGCTACGCAGTTGCTACAGTGCTACGCTGCGCTGCTGCATTTTAACCGTAGCTGTGTTTGGAATCGAACCCATTGTCATAGTATTTGCATATTTTTTTTAATAGGTGCTAATGGAATAGTAACCCCGCCTACGCTAACGGTATAAGCTGGCGGGGCACTAGTGGAAGATGATAGGTGAGAATGAATGCAGGTCAGTTGGCCCACCATGATGAATTCGACAAGAATTAGCCATGATGGTTTTCAGGGGGAACCGCATGGAGGAATGTATTTGCATATTATTATATATTAAATATTTTTATAGATCTGTTAATTAACTTTGTATATGGTTTTTAAAATTATGATATATTGATTTAAAATTTTAATATACCTACTGGTATTAAACATCGAAATCTTGACAAAGATTTTTAACAACTGCATTCAAAATATTTACAAAATTTTGCGTGAAAATACCTAAGTACTTAATCGTAAGTTTAATTTGTATAAGAAACGCATACCTATATACTTGTAGCAATTTGTTAACTTTATGTAATGACATTATAATAAAATAAAACCACTATCTCTAGGTAGGCATAGAAAGGCATTCTCTTAAAAGACAGTAAATTGTCGTGCCTGGAGAATAATTCTAAAAATAATTACTTGCGTTGCATTTGTGAATAAATTGCATTTCGTAAAAGGGTTTTGTGCAGTTATGACCTGTCTGATGGTATGCAGGCCAAAACTCTTACAAGATAGCAAGAAAATAACATTTAAACATAGGACACTTGTTGAATTATTAATTTTATACGTTCCTCTTTTAGTATTCTACGTACGATAGGTCGTGGGCCTGACAGGTTTCAAACCTGCATGTCTCGATTCCAAGTTGGTCACTTTTAGTTTCAACGTGGACCAGTTTCTAATTTATGCAACGAAAATTGAGTGGTTTCGGTTAATATTAATAAAAAAATATTTTAAAACTGAATTAAACAACACGTATTATATAAATTGACGCTACTAATAATATTGTGTAGCTACAATAAACCACAGTTATAATGTTTTTAAAATATATATATATATATATATATATATATATATATATATATATATATATATATATATATATATATATATATATATATATATATATATATATATATATATATATATATATATATATATATATATATATATATATGAATTATGAAATTGTTGAATTAGTTCTTCAGATTAATCTATTCTCTGATTATATACGTAATGTTAGTTAGTAATAGAGTGCAAAATGTTAATAATTAGGATATACCATTCATCTACGGGGCAAACTCGTATTTTGTTTAGAAATACAGATAAATCGTAATAACAAGCAAAACCTACGGGAAAATATTGAAAAATGACTAAATTCGCTAAGTGTTTATTTATAAGCTCCACGATCCTATATGAAATGACGAGGCGGTGAAAGTTAATTCTACCTTAATAAGTTAATAAATTGTTAAAATAACAGTTATGTAAGATAATACATATGTTATATTTTCCATATAGCTTTTATATGAAAGTAAGCGTATTCTATTATTTTTTTATTAGAAGAGATTTTTATAACAAATTTTTATAAGTAAGTATGAGAACATACTCGAATTAATTCAAGAGCAAGTAAAATTTAAGAAAAGATAAGGTAATTTAACAATATCAGATGTCTAAAATCCCTTGACCTATACATAATTTATATAGTACCTTATTAATTATGTAATATAACATATGAATGTTCACAAATTTACTATGCTCACATCCCACGTTCTGTTCAATTCACTATACAAGTAAGAGACTGAAATAATAAATTCTTATCTTTGTGATTATTATTTAATTTAATTAAATTAAAACAGGTTCAAATTTTAGTGATGTACTTCTTGTAATTATTATTTATGTATAAAATATACACAAATGGATATTGGAACTTAATTGGAGTAGAACTAAAACATTTATTTTAAAAATCTGTTGGTCTAGGGACTTCTGAATTACTAAGTATAATAGGTACTTAAATAGATCTTCTGCTCATGTATTTTGTTCTAATATCTCAATCATGAATCTAC